TAATTGTAGTGGTGTCCTTTGAAGGGCAAAAACTTTTAGTTTTAATGAGGTCTAATTTACCAACTTTTTCTTTTGTCTCTTGCGCTTCTGCTGTATATCTGAGATACAAGGTCATAAAGATTTTCTCCCATGGTTTCTTCTAGAAATTTTATAGTTTTAGCTCTTACATTTAGGTTTATAACCTATTTTAAATTAATTTTTGTACATGTGACAGGTAAGGATCTAAATTTATCTTTAAGCATCTGGATATTCAATTGTCCCAGACCCATTTATTGAAAAGACTATCCTTTTCTCCACTAAATTGTCTTGGCACCTTTATCAAAAATCAATTGGCCAGAAATATAAGGGTTTATATTTGGACTCTCGATTCTGTTCCATTGATCTATAAATCTACTTTTTTTAATTAAAAAAAATTTCAGATATAATTTATACACAGTAAAATTCACCCTGTTGAGTGTATGTACCTTTCTGTGAGTCCTGACACACACAGTTGTGCCACTATGACCAAGATATACAACAGTCCATTACCTCCCACAAGTCCTTGTTCTCCTCTACAGTCAACCTCTCACCCCCCTCCTCAACCCCAGATTTGCTTTCTGTTACAGAAAGCCATATAAATGGAATCCTAAAGCACTCAGCTCTCTGAGTCTGGTTCCCTCTCCAACCTATCCTTCAACATCCAGCGATCCTTCCAAAATATAAATCTGTCTGCTCCTCTGTGTCTCTCCTTAAGCCCAGATAGACCCTGCAGGGTCTGGCCTCTGCCCATAGTTCCTGCCGGTCTGGACAGACAGGATGGATGGCTCTTAAACCTGGTTTACAGAATAACCACCTGAGGGCTTGTCAATACCACACATTCCTGGGTCTTGGACCCAGAGACAACAGATTCAGTAGGTAGGGAGGGGTGCAGGGATCTGTTTTTTATACAAGCCCAGGGAGATTTCGAGGCAGGTGGCCACAAGCCATACTTTGAGAAACACAGCTGAGTCCAAAGCACTTGCCTTTCCCTGCACCTTCCATACCCACTTCCCTGTCCCAGACAGCTTCCCTTCTGCTCAATTGTCACTTCTATAGAGAACTTAACTCCCTGAGTGAGTCATTCTCCCAGCATAGTTGTCACCTGTCCTTTCTTATTACTCGTATGCTTCTTTGATTAAAATCAGTCTCCTAAACTGGGCTAAATGAGGACAAGGGTGGGGTCTGTTTTTGTTGCTCACCACTGGATCCCCAGTACCAAGCATGAGGCCGGCATATAGTCAGTACTTAACAAATATTAGTTGAATGAATAAAAGAATGAGTGAGTGAATTATCTACAGTGGTTTGTATAAGCTGCTCCATGGCCCAGGTGACCTCCCCTGGGGGCTCCCTCCTCTACTTCTTTGCTTAGTCCACTCATACTCGTTTTTCTGATGAAAATCCAGTTTGGAGAAAGGAGAGCCTGGAGCCCCTTCTCCTGGTCTTCCAGGTCAGACTTCTTATCACCCTAGAGATTGTTTGTTTACCCAACTATGACCCACTTTAGGCTGGGAGGTGGCCTCTGTCTTTGATCTCAGCCTCCGAGGTCCCCCCACCTCCTTAGTGTTTGTCTAGTGCTGAAGGACAGAGCTAAAATGAGTGCTCTAAGGGAGTCCCCTGGCACCTGGCCAGAGCTTTCCCTAGATCACTCCTCCCACCAAAAGACCCTGTCTTACCCCATCAATTTCAGAAGGAGAAGCTGAGGCCCTGGACTTTGCTCAGAAGGGAGGACATACCCTGGGTGTCTCTGAGGAGCCAGATGAAGCCTGGGTGGCCAAACTGTGGTTTGAGGTCAAGGGACAGGCCATGGTGCTGGGCACTCCTCTGGTTGGCTTCCCTTTTTCGCAGAGTGCCCTTTGCTCCATGGGGCGGGACCCAGAGCAGGCCCCCTAGCTTGGCCAATGAACTGACCAGGTTTGGGGGGGGGGCATGGGAAAGAGGGGGCGGAGCCATTTCCCCTTAACTTTCCTCCCCCCAGCCCCTCCCTTTCAGGCCGTGAGGACACTCGAGGCTGTTCAGTTCAACTATCTCCGCCTCTCTCCTGGCACCTGCTGCCAGGCCAAGAAGAGCAAAAACAATCCCAGCCTGTATAGAATTTCAGGGAGACCCCGCCCCTTCGGTGCTTCCTCCTCCCATGCTTCTCCCCAAACCCCGCCCCCACCTGCCCAAGATAATTTTAGTTTCCTTGGGCCAGGAGCCTGTAAACACACGGCTCACCATCCCCTCACCACTACTTCTACTTCCAAAGTTGGGACACCCTCCTGTCACCTGTAGAGAAGAGGGAGTGAATTTGAAATCAAGTCCAGGTATCTGGGGTCCTTAGACTGCTGGACTTTGGACCCTGGGTCCTTCTACTCCTGCTGAGGTTTCTCCAGGTAAGGGGACTGAGATCGGTCCCAGACGACAACCTCCTCCCACCCCCCAGCCGCAGCGGGGCCCCAGGCCGTGCCCGTCTCTGGGCCAGGAGCTGGCTGGCTGCCCAGGTGAGCGGCCGGGCGGCCGACTGGCTTCCCCCTCCTCTTTCCCCCTCAGTGATGTCAGGCCAAGGGCGGGGGCAGGAGGGGGACAGGTAGTTAAGGGCCTTGCGTCTCCCTCCCTAAACCGGCGGCCCCAGCCAGGTGTACCAGTGCACAGGGTCCAGGTAAGGCCCAAGGCAGGCATTTCATCTTGGGGGTGGGGAGCACCGGCAGGTCCGGGGGTCAATATGGAAAGAGTCGGACTCCTGCTGGGTTACTTAGGCGGCTCCACTTTCTCTTCTCCTCTACTCTCCCATGCCGTCCCCTCCT